CTCAGCAGATGTTGGCCTCTACTCCCTCTCCATCATCTCAACATGACACAGCCAAACAGATGACACGACCTATACAAACATACAGTCCCATCACAGCTGTTTTTCTTATGTACAACAATAACACCTCAATATCATAACTTGTGTGATGATGCACTTTATACATGGTTAACTACAACAAATCAAATACTGGTATACATTTCACCACATACAGTACATTCCCCCAGACTGTGTCTCATTGTGCAACTACCCTAGATTTTTATGATCATTGATTGATGGTTGAATGCACATGATTGGTCCCCATGTCAGTATATTTTTGGAGCCACCACTCTTTTTCCCTACAGTACTTATTCTCCTTTAAAAAATAGTATTTATTTTTGGATTTAAAAGTTCTGCACTACTTGGAATGTTTGCAGTTTGGGTTAGGCAGTGGCTAGACTTGCCACAAGTCCCTTATTATTTTTTTCTCATTCTGGACAGCGCCACCAAAGTGTAAGTTAATTTTGAGACAAACAAAAAAAACCAGAAATTGAGTATGAGACACCAATTAAATTTGGTATGGCATGCACTAAGTGCAATAAAAAGTGAATAACCCAAATTTTGGTCAAGGAACCCAGGCTAAACAGTGGCTACTGTAATGTAGGGATTTAATGTTATGTGGTGTTCTACTATTGCATTTTTTTAATCAACAAAGAAAGGTGCTATCGAAATACTTATGGTTTGCGCACAAAAGTACGCTATGTTTTTTAGGTGTTGCTAGTGTTTTCATGCATAAAGCATGCGTAGTATGCGCAAGCTGTAAGTAGACAGATTTTTTTTAACTGCACGCATTAAGACTTTTTCATTCATGGCAAAATTATTTACCAATATTTGGCACAGTGCCACAAACGACAAACTTGTTTGCAAATTAGTATCGCATGGTACCACAGTATCTTTGGTCTTCAATAATGGTCACATGTTTTTGACCAATGCTGGTTAAAAAAGAATCTACATTTCTCTCCACTGAGGAGTAAAAATGGGTACCGTTACCATACCTTGTAGAAAGGGAATGAATTAGATTCTTTGAACGAAATTGGGTACATTAATCTGGATTAACTGTACAACCAGATATTCTCCCTAAAAAGCGAAAAATTTTGTTCACTTTTTTTTTTCTAAAAACCACATTGATGTTTGCATATCATTGCTCCTATATCCAAAGAGAAAAACCACCCAAAGAAAGCCTCCTTGAAATAAATAATCATTAATAATCTGTACAACTTATACCACTGTATACATGTACTAACCCATGCAGTTTAATAATAGGCTTATATTATAATGAGAATATATAATAAAACATATAACAGTATAAACAATTTATACAGTACAAATAATTGTTTTGATTAAAGACTAATATTACTGTATGATATTCTATAAATAATAATTTACGATGATGAAATAGTATAATCAAGTTTTGATAAATATATGAATGAAAGTAAACAAATATATAAGTATGAAACATTGAGAAACAAGCACTGAGTTCCACCAAATAATAATTTTAGAATATCTAGAGACTGCCATGTATTAACATGCGAAGCATTAACCAATATAATAAATAAAACAAATCTACAGATCTACTTTTATGCTTAAGTAATTTGAATCAAGCATTGGTGATTGTCATTGTAACATAGAGAACAACAGGACAGGAAGTGTTACAACATAATATTATAACCAATGCCATAGCCAGCTATTGGGACAGTTGGGACAGTCCCACACAATTTGTCTAATGGGTCCACATTTTTAAAAATAGATCCAAAGTATGTAATTTTATGCATAAAATGAGTCCACTTTTTGAAAAATGGGCTAGGTTTCTCATATTTAGTTTAAAATGGGTAAAATTTATGAAAATGGGTCCAGATTTTATATATTTTTGTGTAAAATGGGTCCACATTATTTGAATTTACGCATAAAGTGGGTCCACCCTGATATTGTCCTGCACTGTTTGAAAATCCTGGCTACGGCTTTGATTATAATATAAATGTACAGTAGTTACTATGCATGCATCATAAACTATATGAATGACATCTCTCTGGTGTATGACAACTTCTAATCTCATAAACATAAGGGACACATAAGTACACACATTCAAATTACCAGCAAATTGATAACAGTTGCATTGTTTTGCAACCTAATGCAGTTTTAATGTAATTTTAACATTTATTTCACACTGTCTTAAATCAAGTCTAAACTAGGTGGGGGAGGGATGCTTATGTGTGATAAAATATGGTAATTTATAAATGTTTTATAGTAATTTATTCTACTACTTTTGTTTCTTCACAGTTTTTATACTACAGTAGAACCCATCTTGATTTCTAAGTCATTACTCTATTCATTCTGCTATCACAGGAACCTGGAAAAATAAACAACTTTTGTTGTTTTAATTTAATACATTTACTTTGATTTCATCATAAATGTATTATAATTGCATTGGAAAATATTATTTAATTTAATATAGTTTATAATTTTAACTCATTCTTTGGTCAACTGAAATAAAATTCTAAAGAATATATTTCCTCATTGTACAGTATGACTAGGTGTGCCAAAACCCCTATGAAGAGGACAATTTCACATTTAAAGTTAGAGTTCCCATCAATAGGGATACCCTATTCAGGGGACAACCCTTTTAAGAGGACATTTTTTTTTTTTGGCCCGAATGTGTTCTGCTGTATTTATATTTTACGATTTTGTAAGTGGCATCATCTACTGTTAAGGTGAACACAAATAGAGTAATATAACATTTACAACCACCATGCTTCTTTCAATTAGGATTTTTATTTTGTTATTTTTATTTTTTTCTTACTTCATTCTCATCCAACAGCCAGTTGCTTGCCTTTTACAACATTTAAGTGCTGCTTTATAAGCTAAGTCCCTATGAGACTTGCAAAGTGGAGTTACATTTAGTTATGAAAAAAAAATTGCAGAAATTTAACCCCTGACCTTGGGATTGGAAAGCAAGCTACAGCTTCATTTCAATTATCAGCATTTCCGATCGGCAAACGTGAAGACAAATGGAAAAATACTAATCACAAAAATAACATTCTACATGCTAAAAATTCCCCTATTAATGTTTATTATTAATAACCCTTTGGCATTACCATTGAGTTTTTTAACAATAAATAATTTAACATCTCAAACAAAGATTTTGTTCAAGATGATCAAATTTCACCAGTTAAGAATGTTTCTTTTGTTGTCAATCGCCTTAAGAATTCAATTCAAAAGAATAGAAACTGCTAAGCAAATAATTTTAAGAGCACTTACAAATTTTTTAATACCACACATTTTACTACATCTTATCTACCTCCAAGTAACACATTAACTGTATCCCTGGCTTTCAGTTTTTCACTGAAGACTCTGTTAAGGGCCAAAATTCCTGTAAGGAAAGGTGGAGACTTTTTGAGGGGATAGGAGGTTCACTCTGTCAGGCAGTTATCTGTTTATGTCCCTCATGGTATTCTCAGATTCACATCACCTAGCTGATGTTTTGGATCCCGGTTTACTACTGTAGGTCAGTGCTTTCTACTGTACTTCGCCCTTATGCAGGTACAGTACATATAAATGTATCCATTTTTTGCGTGCAACTTTTATTTGCTATATATATCAATCATCAAATTTTAAACAAATTTGTTGATTCATCGATAAATTGAAATAAGTACTGGATTAATTATCATTCAGTTGATCGACTGGCCAATTGATTACTAAATGATTAAGATACAGGTGTAGTTGAAATTTTCAAGAGAAAAAATTTTTGGTGAACAATGTTGAATATATTGAATGGATTTCATAGTGCATGATTAATTGAGAAGTTGACTGATTGACACACTTATGAATAACTGATTGATTGATTGATTGATTGATTGAATGACTGACTGACTTATGGATGGGTTACTGATTCATTTCATTCACTGATTCAATGATTAAATGATCGATTGATCAATTGATCGATAGCTGGCTAATTGACAGATTTATTGATTTGACAGTTTTATTTATTGATTAAGTAACTGACGAATAAAATGATTGATCGATTACCATTAATGAAATAAACTATTAGCATATATATAATATAGTAATACAGTAATAGCACATCACCAAATGGAATAAATTTGCATAAATTAATGTGTGCGGATATGCCTAAATGAAAATACTGTATATTTAGAGTCCTAATCCATGATAAATTAGCATTTTATTTAAATATAGTTAACTCAAAACACTCTACTGTAATGTGATTAATTCTGACATTTAATTGTGGAAAGATAGTTGGTCATTGTACTTTCTATTCACGCTGAGCAACAAATGACAAGAAGGTAACATAAAACTGTAATAACCAAGCCTATTAGCACACTATAATAGTACTAGACAACAAACATCAATAAAACAGTAATCTCTTTTACGGATACAATACAAATAATAAGCTACAGTACTGTACACATGACAGGCAGTACGCCTATATGCGTTATGTGCAGATCCTCAGTAGCTTGATATTCTATCCAAGGGTTGAGATAATAGTGCTACACTGTATCTACTATATTAACGCAAAAGATCGGCATTGGAAGGGTTTGAAACCAAGGAACCAGGGAAGGTGCCATAAATTTGAGGTGCCATAAAGTCCAAGCACCCCGACAAGGGATCCACGCCCTCTCCATCGGGGAAGCCTAGGGGTTATTTAAAAAGGACAATTTGATAGAAAGGGTCATATAAGTTAAGAGAGTTCCCCCTGTCGGGGGTATTAGTTCCAATGTAGGGTGTCCCAGCCCCCCTGCTGGGGAAGAGCTGGCGCACCACTGCAACCCATACAATTGCAATAATATAAAACACCTCGCACATACGGTAGCACTGCTTGACAGTTTTTAATTCCTAAAATTTGACAGCTTAGTAAGGCATACTTGAATTGTACTTTTAGTGCTCAAGATTTTATTTTTCCCTTGCTAGACCTTGCTAGAAATTCCCCGACAGGGGTTCCAAGCAGGGGTTCAAAGGTTGCTGACAGGGGTCCTTTGCCCCCCTGGACCCCCACTAGCACCGCCCCTGCAAGGAACATACTCTATGCTCCAAAGCTCAATCCCTAACTGCCGCCACTCTCTTGGAATATGACTTGTGCTGTAACCTTTAACATTTAAAAATAAATACATGTTATCTAAGAAGATATTCAAAATGGTGCAATATTTGCATTGTATACGGTACATAAAGTTATACCTTAATTAACAACATGCTATCCATAATTACCAACATAACATGCCATGCAATTTATTACAGGGGTTTGATGCAACATGAGGGCGGGCTTCAAGTAACATAAAAAATATGATTGAAATTCACAAGATTATAAACAAAATACATGCAGATTGAATTTTATTTTCACAAGTTACACCAAACGTAACAGCCATTGCAATAATAACTTATAATAAATACTTACACTGACCACCATCAGTAAACATTACTATAGGCCCTATGAAGTGAAATATAAACAATTAATGTTAATATTATAAAATTATATTATGTTTTAAATTTGAATTGAATTTTGTATTGAATAAACTGCTGAGTACTTTTGTAATACAACATATGTCAGTTCATGTGATTGTTAATGACAAGAGTTGTGACTGGAAAGTACCATTCAATTTCCAGATCATGTGTTTAATGATTGCTCTGGCAAATATTTACTGTAACTGTGTACTATTGTTTTTACCATATAAATACCAATAGCGCCAATTCCAAATCAATGATCAAAGGCGCTATGTTATTATCTATCCTGATCACTGGATAACATATTGTACTGTAAACCAACATAAAGTGCAACCTTCTTTGCTCTCTGGGGAGTATACCTAGTTGTACACGTGTACTCAGCGCACATCTAGTATGCCACAGTTTCCAGTTTAACATAGAGTGCCTTGCCCAAGAAACACAAGCGACTTGCACAGAGAGATTCGAACCACAGACATCAAGGATGGGAATCGAAGCCATGATGCGTCAACCACTTCTACAAGACAGGTAATCTACTACATTAACTTACTATCATCAATTGGTAATAAATTACAGTAGAACCTTTCCTTTGGTAATGACTTACTCTAAAAAAATTATTTCCCTCCAGGTACTGAGTCTGAATTCATATAAAAAAAAAAGTGCTCAAGACACTTTATGACTTCTGTTAATGTTACATTGTTATTTATATTGTTAAGTAAAGCTAAAAAAAAATTATTCTCAATAATTCATGTATCTCAGTCTTATAGTCATATAATATATCAGTCGTTGGATTAAATGTTGGATTAAATGATATATTATTATATATAGGTTGAATAGCATTTCAGTCTATGGTCTAAACACAGCTAATAGAATAAGCTTGGTAATTTATGGTTGTGCTATGATACTTGGCTCCACATTTAAGAGTATACTGTTGTAGATAGTAATCAATAAATACATTAATTTTACTATTTAGAAGGTGCCCTACCAATAGGCTAAAATCGCCACACACAGATTACACAACAATCATAAAACAAATAATTTCAAAAATATTTCATAAAAAAGCTTTTAAAATTTTGGAATTTCATAAATTTCATAAAATAATCCCAAGTAATCATCTAACACAAGATGGTGAAAAAAGAGACAGTGAATATTTATGAACCAATCATGTCAAGTAATCGAAATATAATGCATGTTCCATTGAATAAAAATGATGAGGAACACTTCCACCTAAGACAACTCTAATGTCACATCACATCTAGCAATTTATCACTTCTTTTGTATGATAAATATGAGTCAGCAATTTAATGCACTACTTTCTTTCTCAGTTGAGGGAGTATTTCCACTCAGGTGGAACCACCTTAATTACAAAGCAGTCAATGAGATTATGCCATGTGTATTTTTTCCATAGTTGGCATCTTCACGATGCATGGGTTGCTCAGTGGAGGATGCTTTCCTTCAAATTCTAATATTCTAGGTTCAAGTTTAACAAAGTAGGAGCGATTTGGCGCAGCAAGAATGGTTTGGTCTCCCAACCTCGAGGTCGGGGTTTCAATTTCTCGCTGTGTGTGAACTTTGCTTTAAAAAGACCAAATAAACTATAAAAAAATTTGGATTTTTACATGCTGCGTTAATTCTAGTAGTATCATTGTCTGGCAGTTACCCCTGTAAGAGCGAGTAAATCCGGTGGAGGTGCACGATGGGTACTACTACCACGAGATAGGGGGTGCCCTATTAGAAAACGAACAGAGTTCGAAACTCAACAAACTTGAGTTTGAAACTGGAACTTGCATCATAGAGACGCAGCACGCGTTTGCTATGAATGCCTTTAATGGTATTTTGAAGGATGCCCTCTAGAGCACGGTAGTACTTCCGAGATACAGTAATGTACAGTAATAGGCAGTAGATGCATGCTGGGAGCATATTTTTATATTACTGTATATAGTGATATATCCATAGTGTATTTGACAGGTATAACTTTTTAGCATTTCTTTTTTAATGCGAGTTGGAAATCCACTGAAATCTAGGTACTACTGCACCAACAGTAGCCAGCTGATGCAATTTCACGGAGAGCTCACCGCAACAAGTGTCTGCAATTCAGATCGTTTGTAATGAAGACAACCACTGATAATCGGCAAATAATGTTGCATTGTGAAGCGCTCGCAGAGATGGATTTGTCAGCCAAACGACCTCAGCCGATGACCATTAGCGCAGTACAAAGGATTCTGGCCCAGCTTTTGCTTTGGACTAACTGTAGATGTCTGCACCTATTGGCAGCAAGCTATGGTACCCTTTGTGGAGCTTTAAGTTTTAGTAATGAGTTTGACCTAGCGCTACATAAAACTTATATTTACGTATCTTTTAAGGATAGGAGACATGAGCAATTTCTATCAGATATGCAAGTTTTCTTACAACAGGCTCTAATAATAATATTATAATAGCTCCCCTTTATAGTAGTCTGCACCCATGCAACATGTATGTAACATGCATGTTGCCATGTTGTCTATGAGCCTTAGCAGATCCAGACGAAAATGTCTATATACTAATGGATTGATGCGAGATTAATAGAATGTCTTATAAACTGCTTGGCTAGCATTATGAGAATGACTCCATCAAACAGTAATGTTCTGTTGTCTTGGTACATAAATGGCATGACAATGAATTATGGGATAAAAGCAATGGTGGGATTGATCAGTACTTGGATCATCTATCACCAATATGCTAATTAGAAATCAGGTAAAAAATGAGTAGTTATGTGTACACAGCAGAGCATTATAGAATATATGATCATACATCTATTGTATTAAAACACACACACACACATTATCTATAGAAATTCTGTGTAGGTTGGGGTTAGTAGAACAGAGTGTTACAGAGGCAAGGTTGGAGACAGAAGTTCATGGATCAGGATTGGAGGGGCAACGTTAGAGTTGGGAGAGATTTGGGTGTAAACCCCTGGAATCTTTTGCTATTTAATGTAATATAAGGGTAATTCTCATGATTCTTACGTTGTGTATTCCAATAATAAAAGTATTTATTTTCTGCCTTTATTTTGATCAATTTCTCACTTGCTGGCCTTTTCATTACAAGATACAACGTTGGATTTAATACTTTTCAAAAATGTGTTGTCAATGGCATAATTAAATTAATGCATATAATTACTGGGCCAGTATTTTAGCAACTGTAACTTCACGTCTACAGTAAGTATTCAATGTAGGTCTGGTCCAGTTATGTCACTAATAATAATTACCAATAAAATACTTGTAAAAAATAAAGAACCTTCATTTAAAAACGATATGAAACTGACCGTTGCCTCGCTAAGGGGCTCTATTGTCCTGTCTTCCATCTTCAACAACTATTTATTTACACCTTTGTGGTATAGCCTACCAAGAAGTTCCTCTTACTCTCATCTTGCCACGACCGTGTGATCAATCAATCAATCAATTAAATTATTGGATCCACTTTTGATACAGTGGCACTCATACAAGATGTATGGTACAGTAGACATCCACCCTCATGCTCATAGTCTTACTGACAAGACACCTTGTAATCACGATCCAACGTACATACAAGGCCAGCGTGACTTTACAGCGCTCACATCCACAACACTCGCACTACTCAAAGAGGCGATCCTGTCGTCAAAGACGTCTTTTCATAGCATTTTATTGTAAAAAAAGACAATATAATGAATATATTAGTACGCATGCAATTTTCTTTGTAAGCTGGGAGAACATGTGAGAAAACGTGAGAAAAAAAATTTGGCTGGGAGTTAGGTCACCAAAACGGAAGTCTCCAGGCCAAAACGGGAGTGCTGGCATGTATGTTTAACTACAATGTTGTTTATTAAAAGGAAATCTCTTACTTCCAATTTATTTTGTGTTTAAACATACTCATTTGATCGATATATATGGCCAGTTCAACCACGCAACTACAAAAATTTAAATACTGTGTAAATGAAAGTATGTTATTTATATAAACAACAAATGGATCACATTACAGTACCAAAACAACATATCACTAATGAAGCATGATACAATGCAGAATTTATTATAAACCACTGACTGATTCATAAATTAAAATTAATTTCTATAATATTTGAGTTGAATCATACAGTAATTAATTTCATAATTCCTAGATTACAAGTTGAAGGCAGATATCTGTGTTGGTATGGTTGAGTTTAGTATTTATTATTATTTATTCAACTTTGTTTCATGAGGATAGCTCTACCAGCATGGCTAAATCAAAGAGGCCCTCAGTTATGATGGTGCGGTGTAGTTGTGTGTTTAGACCCACCAAAGCAATTCCATTGGTCTAACCTTCAACTTGAGTTAATCAATTCATGGTTTTAACTGCGCATATGCATATATTATCGTATCCAAGGTCAATTTCAACTTAAATTTATATGTTGTGTGTATGGTGTTTACAGTAAGTTGAGTGACCTTGATATGTGCATGCGTGGTTCTAACTATGAATTGGCTTATTTGGTCTGCACTTGCTGTATGTCATGTTATCTTGTGCGCTAGTACATCAACACACAATAGGCGAGTAAGTGTAATATTTCACACATTCACACACTTTTTCTGTTTATGTACAAGACACATGATGAATACACCATCACTGTAATGTCTGCCACTAATGTAAAATTGTTTTCTAAATAAATATTATTATTAATTATTATTCAACAATATGCCTGAGAAACACCATACCCTAATTAACAATCTGTATCATAAGTTTCCTGTTGGCGTAACACTTCATTAGCATTAAAATACAATATAACACCATCCCATTATCTCGCACCATTGCCTGCTTCTCAGAGACACAATTCGGATTGCGGACAAATTCAGTACAGTAGCTAGTCTTCTCATCTACAGTAAGTCGTCATCAACACTTTTCAAGAACAACTTAGTCAACAATAATATCATAATTCAAAATACAAAAACATGCAAAATTTTAACATTGAGAGCACCTTATTAAACTTTTCATTTTTTCTGT